TGGCATTTAAAATTTGAAACCAACAGTACATTATTCAGCCCGCTCACATTTATTTTAAGAATAGGCTTCTGGTTTGGATCAAATCTCATCAGCCTGGAAGTCACAAATATAAAACTTCTAACTTTACTGGAGCTAGGCGCACACACTGACTGTCTCAGCCAAATGAACCTGACACTGACTCTGAGCAGACATGTATGAAATAAATAGGAGTTGTGTAAGCTTTGATTCAGCATTGACTGTGTGGTGTTGCCATAGACACTGTGCAAACAGCATATTGACCAATGCGCTTTAAAGGGTCACATTGTGAAGTCAGACTGGTTCCCTGAAGACCGTGTAGGTGTCTGTTCCCGCTTGAAATATTTCATGGTTTAATATCGGGTAACCCCACACTGTGGAGATCAGATGTCAGAGATCAGGGTGTGACTGTCTAGGAACGTGAAGATCTCAATCCACATTTACAGCTGATAAGTAAGAGACAAGGCCAGAAAATAAACACTCAGCAGATACTTTCTGTTATATAGCCCATAGATCAAAGCCTTTATGGTATATAAGCTGACAGCCAAGTATAAAATTACAGATCACGACCTCCCTGCCATGACAGCAAAGCCTTGTTGTTTTAAAAAAACTATCATAACAGACCACCAGCAGAGCATTCAAGAGGGGGAGACCTCATCTCGGCTCTGCTGCTGTGATTTATAATCCACTTTGCAATCCGAGGACGCTGCCTGACAACCTTAAAGTTATTTGGTGGATGTACACGACCCATAAAAGGTGTGTAATATTTAGAAAGTTCTTACAATTGAACCTTAAACCTCACCCTGAACTTGGGTTAAGGCCGAGGGCAGGCAGAGTGTGTGTGAGTGTACATATACAGTATGTCTATTTGGTTCGGTTTGCACACTGAATAGATAACCTGATGCTAAAAAAAGCCTCCTGATGAACACAGACACACACGTGTCACCCCTGGGGTCTTTATGAGAAGGAAGCATCAGATATTTCTGTTGTATGGTTTTATTTTCTGACAGGGTGATGGCGATGGATCACCGGCTCATACACAAGTAGGGGGAGATATGAGCTGGCCGAGCCGTTTGTGTTGTGGTGCGTGTGCTGTTTGTAACCATGGCAACTGCACCAAGGCCTGTATCCCCTGATTGCCAGATAGAGTCGCTGTCCTTGCCAATACGGAGAAACTTCGAATGGCTGGGAAGAGTTTTAGCTTTGCTGGAAGGGAAGAAGTGACTCAGTCTAGTGTGTGAGATGAGGAGGTTTGATAGAGTTGTTTGGTTTAGATAAAGAGATTGTGGTTTCGTGGAACATGCAGCTGGGAGCTCGAAACTATCATCATACAAGGTTTTGTTTAGATTTTAAGTCATCAGCTAGGTCTATTGTAGTTTGTGAGGTTGAAATCACACAATTTAACCTGTAAGGAGCTCTAGAAAATCACTAGTTCACATTGAAATATGAGGCAGATTCACAGAAGTCATATTGAAACCATGAAGGTGAAAAATCAAAGCAGCAGAGGTCAGAATATCCTTACTCTCAGTCACAAATGTGAGCTGGGTGACCAAAGCACTGGGTTGTACATTTCCCATAATGCAAATCAAAAGCATTTTGATTCAGTTCCAGTTCAGTGTGGAAACTGCCCACAAATAACCCAAATCTGGTGCCTCAGCAATGGTTAAAGGTAGCTTGTGTCTCAGAAAAAGTTGCATACTTTAACTTTGGTAATCTGATTTTGCTATTTTGGAAACTAAAACATCCAATGAGCTTGTAGAATACGACGCATTTTTACAAGTTTGTCATCTACAGTACATACTGGTATGCTACTGCTATCTCCTTTTATTTAAATGCATCTGTAGAAGTAGTGCAAAAATGTAAAATATGAACACTTATAGGAGCCATTAACTTGACTTGGACTCTTAAACTTTGAATCCATTGTAATCACTCTTATGTATTTGAAGTAGCTGCCATTTTCAATGCAATTTGCATTTTTATAAAGTCAATGAGTTTTTTTCACACATGCTGTGCAATTGTGAGCAATTTGGTCAGCGCTACTTCAGAGCGCCCCCCTTTTTAGCTGCTCTTGCAAAATTATTGTCATATTAAAGGTTTACACTCTTTTGACGGATTACTGACTTGAAATTAATATCATTTTGTCAAATGTTGAAATAGACGTGTATGAGCCATTTTATCTATATTATTTTTTGGGATTTTGTTTTGTTACTCTCACAACCACCACGAGGGGCACTTCAGGTGAATGGGCAGGTAAATGCTACAGAAGGGACACAGGTGAAGCAGTGATCTGGGGAACGGGAAGAGGAGCACACGGTTTTTACCGCTAATCTCTGACACCACGAACATCACCATCATAGTAAGTTGGATGTATCTGTCTTTTTTTTGTTTGTTTGTTTTTTTGTTTGTTTTTCATTTAATTAATAAATGGCAAAAATATAACTCAACAACAACCTTGGATTGGACATTGGATTGTACTAGAAGCGCATCAAAAACACCTCACTCCCGCACCCAGACAGTGAATGAAAATTAGGACAAGGAGGATAAACCATTGGTTAAAAGTACTGAACATTTGAACGGGTACAAGACTTGTCTTATTGTGTTGTCCACACCCTCAAACTGGAAATGACTTCAGGTGATCTTCCAGATATTCATCTTCTCTCCTCCCCCAGGTTTGTATTTCCCTGGTTACTCAGATGTTGCAGCATCTGGGAAAAGTCACCACAACAAGCAAGCAGATATCGTGATGCTAAAAATACATGTGACTGCCTCTATTTCTGAGGCCTGACTGTAATATCTTGTTACATGGCCCATTGATCGTGGCTGAGGATGAATTGCCTGCTCAGGTATTCTCGTTCCCAATCAAGGTCCCTGGTGCTATTTTAGAGTGATTATTTAAGAGCAGGGGGTAAATATACTTTACAAATGCACACACACTCACACAAACACACACACACACAAACACAAACACACAGACCTCCATTGACCTACAGTCTGAATTTTTCCACAGCCATCAGCAGTTGTATGGAAATGAATCCAGACGGGTAATGTAACCCTTTGTTTCTAACATGAGGTGAGAGGAACAGACAAAGGCAAGGTCAAGTGTTAGTGATAGCACAAAAAGGAAGGTGCTGTGTCCTCCGATGTGAGATATGATCCTGCTGGAGCTAGCCATTATCGATATATTACATCATTTTAACATGACAGCATTAAAACACGTCAGCGATGTTGTTGCCCACTATTCATTTCTCATTTTTTTCCTCAATGATGTCTGGTTTCAAGGCAAAAAACAAACAAAAAAAAAAAGCTCCTGAGCAGATGATACAAAAGAGAGTCAATGCTGCCACCTACAGGATGATGTGTATAAACTGATGACACAGTCTATATGACACACTTTAAAAATTATAAAATGCTGCATGTAAGAGAAATATTTAAAAAAGCCAGCTCTTAAGAAAGGGTAAAGTTTAGTTTAAAAAAAATCAACTGACATCAGACGTTAAGACTTTAAACTGCAATATAAAAGGTGTCTGAAATCTACATTTTCAGAACATGTACGTAAATCTACTCTGTGGCTACATCTGGTTTCTAATAATTCAGTCCAGTTCAAATTGTTTTTGGTTTTAATGTTTTCATCTCAGTTAAATGTTAGGCTAATCTGTTAAGGCAGGTTTACATCGGCTAAGAACAACACACGGGATACATTCATTTCTATTACACAGATTTTTCTTTTTTATTTATCCCAAGACAAACCTCATTCATTTGCTGCCAGTATACGTGTCGATATGATTTCCCTCACCTTTAAAACCTGCTGGTCATAATGTCATCCACTGAGGAAGGAGACACGGGTAAATTTAGATTTCTTAGTTCAAGATTTAGATTAATAAACCTGATCAGAGCTCAAAATTATGACTGGATAGAAAATATCATCTTAAGCGTGAAGCTGTTTTGAATATTGGATCAAATCCAATCATATTTTCATAAGCTACATAACATTAAATTTGTAAACAGTGTCAGAAGATGTGTATTCCTGATTTACAGCATATTTGCTGTAAAAGCAATAACCATAAATGAGTCCCACCTCTGGACTTTACTCTGCTTTGTCATGGTTTTTGGTGTAAAAAAATGTTCTTTGAAAATGCACTTGAACCCGACCACAAGATAACTTTCAGTCTCATAAATCTGAGTACTAAAATCTTATTTTTTTCTTTAAATAAAGGCAATCATACCTCCATCAAGTTTTCATAAGAATGTTTTAGTATCTGTTGTACATATGTGAACACAAGTTTTTTTTCCTTTTTTTTTTTTATTGTTTTAAAGAAATACTTATTTGACAAAGCAAAAAACGTGAAATGTAGCCCTATAACTATTTTCTGTTAATCTGCTTTTCAATTTTAGATCCTGTTTCAAAGAATATCTGTCATTTAACCTCTAAAACCAAGAAAAAAACACACAAATAAACCCCCAGGTTGTCTAGACTTTTCTCGTTCGTCCTGATTACAGCCACACCAATCAGCATTTATGACTGTGCTGGCTCATTGATAATGTCATCTGTAAATACTTTTAAGACCAAATAAAACTCAATCAATGACACCATCAGGTAAATAATTGACTGTTCACAGTCAATGATCCTTCTTCTTTCCTTCAGCACTCCAGGCTACAAGCTGGCTACTAATTACCCCCGACTAAGTGTTAATACTGCTGATCAGTGAGAGTGGGTTTAAACATTTGCTTGGGTACCTCCTCTGTTAAAAGTACATTTGTAGGTATCAGGAACAAGGTTCAGTTACAGAAACTCGAAGACAAAAAGGTGAGCAATGTTTTTTACTGAGAAGATGAAATATCAGTAGAGAATTAATGCTCTGACTCTGCAGTCATTAACCTTTTGTTTCTCTTTAATTTCGCGCCGAGTCCCATAAAATACAAGACCACGAACTGGCAGCGATATCTAAAATCACTTCTATTTCTGCAATCAAAACAAGGACACAGAGTTATTTAGACTGGTATTTTATTCAGCAAACATGATTTTGAATGCATTATAAAAATATTCAAACCAGCTATAAATTAAATTGCTTTTTGTTCCATCACATCAACTGCATCGAACAATCATAAATGAGGCGCCTCTCGTCATGTTTGCATTTTGTTGAAAAGGAACTTCTGAGCTGCCATTCCTGTGAATTAGTTCAAAGTCCAGAAAAAAGGATTAGCATTGCATAAAGTTGCATAACTCAACTAATACATCAGAGCCTTTGTAAAGTATTGCACATGACTGTTTGTCTTACAAGTGACGCCTCTGCAGAGAGGTGTTAATAAGAGCGCGCTTCACCTCTTGTACAGAAGAAACACAAGACCAGGGTATCTGAGAGTTGATGCAGGAAGATGAACACATAAACAAAAACTGTAGAGGCTGAATGAAACATTTAATTCACTAAATCAAAGTAAAAACTAGAGGCAGAATTATGAAGTTTTTCTTAAACTTGGAGGGTATGCCAGAAATAATAAATCACTCTGACGTCTGTTGAGCTCGAAAAGGAACCTGAGACTTTCATGCTCTCTGTCAAGGCCAACCAGAGCAGTAAGAGCTAATGCAACACTAATCCAATCCCACCTCGAGTTGGTATTGTTGAACTGAAGGGGATCAATGGCCACAAGCACTGGGAATCCACCAGCAATAGACCGGATCAACTGGGGATCAGTCTGGATCAGCAAGGAGGCCAAGGCTGTGAGTCTGCAGACGGCAGAGGGCTGTGATACCAGTCTGCAAACAGCAACAGACTCTCCTGGATACAGACCTCACAGTTACGTATATTAACCTCCCATAAAATTCTTATTGATGGTTGATAGAGCACAGATTCAAGCTTTTAATCTTCATTAATACGTACCGTATTACAGTAATTATTGTAATGGCAATAATAAATAGTATAAATCCCTTTTTTTTGACTCCCTAAATCATTCACAAACTGATTCCTCCTCCTTCTGTCACTGAAGATTCTGAATGTAGAGAGAAACATGTATCTCAGTGTGCTGACAATGTACAGTTAAGTTACAACCACATATCCACAGGACAAACTACCGTGAGGTATGAAATACAAAGTACACTCAATCTAATGCATTCACTGCTGTCTAGAAGAACTCTTGTTGCTTTCCATGACTCCAGATCTCTTGAGGTCACATTAATTGGAGGAGCGTACTTTCCTGCCTTTGAGAGGCTGGGGGGGCCTGAAGTTATTTTCCATGCGTATCCTCTGATCCTCTTCCTCCCCAGTGAACAAGAGCATTCGAAACTTGCCTAGCTGCAGTGGGAAGGAGAAAGAGAGAATATTACCTCCATTTTCAGTGAATGAATTTCTTCTGCCTCATAAGTACGACCAAGGGTAGGACAGGTGATCTGTGGTATGATATGTCCCGTGAAAACACATTGTAATCTGTGCATTAGTCTCTCTCCCCCTTTCCCAGCATAGCAGTTCCAAGAAATCCCACTTCAGTCTAATCTAACCCTTTTCTATTTGGCATAACTCTAAGCTAACCATACATTATCCTTTACTTAAAACACCTCACTAGAAAAATCTAAAGAGGACCTTCACAACTCACTCTCGTCTTATTCTGTGTCCTTTAGCTCCATTTCTACCATTGTGAGGGAAAATGAAAAACAAAATAATACCCTGTTATATAAGAACTTTCCCTGCTGGGTCTCCATGCAAGCATTTCTCAATTAAAGCTCTGAACCCATCCAGCCATCCATCCATCAGGATAATCAGCTGGAGGGGATCAAAGGCTTGAAGTCTGGAGTCAGAGGTTGTGGGGCCACTCGCCTAGCTGACACATCACCCCCAACTATGCCAAAAACGTGGGTTTGAAGACAGATTGTTTTTGACTACACCCGAGGGGCTACCATCATTATAAGTCCTCATTCCTCATGTACAGTCCTGGAGTTAAAAATGGAGAACTAGACAAGAAAAGATCAACAAAGTGTAAGAGTATAATCCAGAGGCTGGCAGCAGTCGCCACAGGACCGGCTCACTGGGGGACCTGGACGGCATGTGCTGCACACATCCAGCTAGTCAGCTTAACTTGTCAACAACCTGGTGTTATCAGACATAAACTTTCTGATTAAATTCAGAGCTGAGAGTGGTGAATAAAAACAAGGCATCCCCTGTGAATGATGCTCGCCCTCACTCTAGCTTCTAATAATAGCACACACACAGGCCTCGCAGTATATTTATGGAAACGCAAGAGCACAGAGGTAAACCCCACAAGCGCCCACCCCCACAACTGCTCAAAGCTGGCATACTGATCCAGTGATGCTGAACTTGAGTTTGACAACAAAGCTCGCAGTGGATCCTTGGAGCATCACAAAGGATAGCCTAAGAGTATGCAAGCCAGGACGCACGGGTGTCACGACTGACTGATCAACTGCAGCATCAATGCCTCACGGGCCGATGACTTACAATGTCTTGATGTGCCACTGCGTAGGATTACATTATTTTAGTCTCATAGGATCATACTTGAGATTTAAATAAAAGTAAAGAAACACTTAAAACCCAATGCCAGTCCTGTCTAGAATCATTTAAATGTCATTTTTTAGTAAAGCAAAATACAGATTTTGAGTGAAAGGTGTTATTCATGTCTAGTTTGTAGCCAAGTAATTTTTTAATAACTGTACTACACAACCTGGAATAATCAATAAGTACTACAGATAAGAGTTTCCATGTTGTTAAATCTGTTTGACTATAAATTGTCCATCTCAAGCTACAAGGAATACCCATAAAACTGTTACTTTAAAATAAAGATTAGAGAAAAACAATCAACACTTTGACATGTCCTTAATTTCTAGACGTTTAAATCATAGTATATATATTGTAGTAAAAGGGAAATGTATTTAACACACCTGTCTTTCAGAAACTGCGATTGGCTCCTTCAGGACGATCCAGGTGACGCTCTCATGTAGCGGGGGTGTGGTCAGTGATCCCAGGTAGGTCCAGTAGTGGAGGCTGCTGGGTAGGAGGCACTTAGGGTTGAAACCTTTGAAGTCTGTAACACTTGCCTGTGACGGAAACATAAAGAAAACCATTTTCATAGTGCTGAAGTGCTGCTGACAGCAGAGCTTAAACCACATTTAGATACAATCCAGTTACAAACATGATACCCACCTTATACTTCACCATGTAGAGAGCATCTGTTATTGTGTGGAGCCATCTGTGGTCATCCCCTGTCTAGAGTAACAGAAAGGGGAAAAAAAAACGGATATTTAACTTGACTTATGAAAAATCATGAACAAATATATTTTTAGATCCAGAGATTCATCATCAGGAGAAAAGGCTAGAGGGGATCAGATGTCTAACTCGACTTAAATCCTTTTAAATGCTCTTGAAAAAGCCTCCCATGCTTATTTTATATCTTGTAATCATAGGGCAGAACATCGTAATACTTTTAAAGAGAGAAATCACTGCAAGTTTCATTGAGTATTTTAGTAGTTTGGAGAATTACTTTCTCATCATGTGAAAAGCCAATTGGTCTCCTCATCCACTTCTTTTGCAAGACATTTGCCAAAAATTGCCAACACCACCTTGAGTAATGCAAGATGATTATTCAGCCTGAGGGTAAGGTGACGCAGAAATGTCTGGTCTTACACAAAATAACATCAGTGGTGATGCGTGACCCCATACAGACTTTAAACTTCATTAGCAACAAGGGGTAAAAAAAAAGGACTCCTTACCTCTAAAAAGATGCCCAGGACAGCAAGACCATCAGGAGCTGATGCTGCCTCCCCAAACGACCTGTACTTGACAGCGTTCCAGTGAACTAGATGAAGCTGGAGGGGAGTAAGAGGGGGAGAGGCAGGAAATAAAAGAGAGCCAGGAATCACAGCGCCCCACTTACAAAGCTTTGATGCAGAAACATCAATGAGTGGGAGTTTGTTCCAAGGTTGTCATGACCATACAATAATAATACAGGCACTTAATTAGTTTAAGAGAGTGCCTCGGAGTTGATCTAGAGATTTATGAAATAAAATAAAACAATGTAGGACCTATTTTTCCCATAGCTGTGTACTACTGAGAGGATCCTGTGTCAGCATTTTCTACCCGAGTATATTTATGATCTGTTTTAGCCGCATAATATAAATGTGGGCCAACAGTGCTAATTTTGATTCTGTATATTAGGATGTGTTTTATCAAAGATGAAATGCTGATAATTTTGGGCATTGGAGTCATATTTTCCTTATCAAACAATTCTTTCCACACAGCTTAGAAAAGAACTGGGTCATTCTGTGTTGAGTAGTCATACATAAACACACTGTGTTGCATTCAGATGACAGACACTGACCTCAGATGCGTAGCTGTTTCCTTCAACAGTGTGCTCAGAACCGTGGCAACCCTTTCCACCCCAGTGGAAGTGGAACTGTTTCAGCCTGTAGGGGTTGTCAAGAGGGCCTCCCAGGATCACTTCAAGAGAGGAGTGAAAATATAAAAAGTAAAATCTGGTATTCACACACCACACTCACACCCTTTCTCTCCATGGGTGTCAGACAAACTGCTTTCCAACAAATGCTGCACAGAGCATCCACCACAAGATGAGTCAAGCTGGAAACACCCAGCAGATTACATTTATCTGTAAAAGCAGAGACATGAGCCCTTAACGGACAGACTGTCTGATTTACTATCAAATCTATCATTAGAGTCTGCGGCAGAGGCTTTCTCCTAAGACAAAAATAACCATTCCTACACTAAATTAAGTGACAGCCATGCTATTTTTAGAATCCATCCATCCATCCAAGTTCATTTCTCAACAAGGATTAACCGAAACTTCAATTCAAATCATAATTGCTTAACATTTCAGTCAGTCAGTGATCAGAATAGGTCAGCCTATCCAGCTGGCCCTGCTGGGTATGGACACCAGTCTGGTCTGACTGTAATTCACTGTGATGCTGCTGACATCGTTCTGCCAAACAGGTCACTTTGTTAAAGGTCAGATCAGCGAGGCATGGGGAGGGAAAAACACTTATCTTGTCAATCTCACTACACATATGTGGGGCAGTTACATGAACAATGTGATCTTTTGGGTGGATACAGAGAGCAGATTCTATTAGAAGTGAGGTGATTGGTATGTTACAACGTATTAGGGTGCACAGGGTGTGAAATTATGTTTGTCCATTTATATCATATTTCAAATTATGAATATTCAAGTATCATAAACATACTTGAAACTATGAATTTCACCTCCTGTCGTGCACACAATATACATTACAAACACAATACGAGAACTAAATAAGCGCTGCAGTGGGGGGGATCAGTACAAGTCTGGCCATGTTGGGGGCTGTGGCTCTATATGCAAAAAGGAAAGTTTGCTCTGTGAGGGCAGGCCTGCAGGCCTGGCCCCACAAGGTTTCGGTGAGTGTCAAATTTAAGTGCTACTTTGATGTGATTTACTTTCCAAGTCTGAACATTCAGAATATTTTCTGAAAAATGACAAAATATGAGCGAAACTGATCCACATCATGTCTTGCAACAATTATACTGTCATCACCCTGAATTTCCTTAATTGCAAGCATCTCTTTTCATTGAGAAACATCATTATAACCTTATTTTCTCCCCAAAACAAGAGTTATACAGAGCTCCGTCACGTGTCAATATGTGCATGTGCTCTCTCAAACCAAGCAGCATGTGGCATACTGACAGCAGCAGGTTTAGGGGATTTGGCCACCTTGCTTGCACTACAGAGAAATGCTGAGAAAGTGCATTAGAATAATCACAAAGGCCTTCTTTCTCATTTATTACTTCCAAGTATGTCTACTTGCTATCTCTGTGGATACCATCTCAGACAAACAGCCCCTCATACCTGAGCTTATCTTCTATTGTAATGATAGAGTGGTTAAACCGGATCCACCCGAAGATAAAAGTGAATATGGAGACAATTACCATTTAGATCACCTGAGCTTGTTATAGTTCTGTCCAGACAGATGCTCATGAAGTGAACTGCTGACTGCACTTCCTTGCAGCATAAACAGTGGCTTATTTGCAACCTTTGATTATGGTCAGTTATGCAGATGGTTTGCACTTTCTAAAAATCATGATAATAGCACCTTTCAAGAGCGTGTTTACTGAAAATAAACTTTCAGACATATTTAGACTGCATGTGGGTGGTGAAGAGATATCATAGCTTGAATTATCCCTTAACTGTGACCTTAACAGGCAATAATCATAAACACCTACTGAGGTCATGGCCTTAAAAATACTTCAAAAACTCGCTTTTCCCATTTCTGCATATGTTTTTGACACCTATAACAAGAACACATTTGACCAAGTGGCTGGTTTTAGTTGTAGGTGTTTACTGGTACTGCACTGATTAGTAAAAAAAGGATAAATTTTCCTTACCTGAACGGTCATCAGTGTCATCAAACTCCACAACAACAGAGTGTCCATTGTTGCAGATGTTGAGAGAGGTGCAGTGATCATAATTTAGTACAATGGGGCCCAGGTTGGGGTCATGGGAAGCCTGTTGAGGCATAATGTCGATGGGAGACTGGCGGTCACCCTCGGCCACAGGGAAGTTTTGGTGCCATATGGATGGACCTGATCATACAGGAAAAACAACAAATATACAGGATGAAGGATTTAGTACATTACTGGAATGCTTTCAGGATGCCTTTAGCTCCAGCTCACAGGGTGATGATTAAATAGAGGTGGAACACAAACTAATGAAAATGTGTGATTTTGCAGGGTCATAACATGCTGTTCATTTAAAGTGCAGAGGAAAAGTTTAACATCTTTGATTAGACAGCCAAATCAGTTAGATAAACTGATTTATAAGAGTATTCAGTTTATTCTGCAGATGGTACAGTGGGCCTATAATTCAGACCTGTAGAATTAGAAATGTTGAAATGAGCTATCAGGATATTTCAGCAAGGCAAGGACACAATGCACCGTTCTACACTTTAGAGAGCATGGTAAATCGAGTGAAAAGTCAGCTTAAGTTTACAGCAGTCATCCCTTTAGGCGTGCAGCTAATCTCGCATTAACAGCGTGACTCCTCCGCGTTACTCCCCCGGGATCAAACACGCAATGCCCACAGCAGAGCAAATGAGAGTATCCTTTTTATTGCAGTACAGAGGGTTAATTGTCCCCACTATAGATGGGAAAGCAGTAAAGATTCTGCCTGTATCTGATGCTGCAGGATCTTACCGTCATCTTTTCCATATCCCCAGTGTTTCCCGGTCATGGTTCCTGTAAACGGATTGAAGCCTGACCAAGCTCTCGGTGTTTGACTCCAGCTCTCCGGTGCGCACGTGGAGGACGGACACGGACATCAGCCGGTGCAGCTATTGATGAAGTTTATGAAGTGGCCAAAGGGGAGGGGCAATCCTCTGCTTCTTGGCACGCCCACCCTCACGCCCACACGCGCACGTACACGCAACCCAGTCCACCTGTCTGAGATTTTAAGGCTTATCTTGTCTAATGTTTCTGCAGCAGCTCAGAGTCGGATTGAAGGAGTTTAGTAAGATATACAGCAGGCTGGATTTTGTTAAAGAATATATAAGGCAACTAGAAAAGAATAAGAAATTAAATTTAAAAAAAAAACTACAAAATCTGGTCTATTAAAACAATAAAAGACCATTTTACTCTGCAGGTAAAACACTAGATGTCTTGTTTGGTCTTTGCTGCTTTGTAAGTCTTTTTTATTTTTCACTCATAACCTGTTTTTGTTTTAGCCTATTTGTTTAAGTCTTAAAAATAACTGGTAATGATCAATCAATTTAACTCCACCTCAGTCTTATGCAATTGTTCATATCATTTCAGTCCCCTAAAGTGTGCATATACCAAAGATGGAACACACTTTTTATTTGCCACAATATCAGAATCAGAATGCCCTTTATTGTCATTATACAGAAGGTACAAAGATTGGAGGGCTTCTCCATTTTCAGTGCAATACATACAAAAAAAGGAAAGGAAAGAAAACAGCTGGTCATCTGCAGGGTTATCTGTGGATGTATCAGCGGGTCATTCAGAGAGATTTTGTGGTTTCTGAAGAAACAATCAAACTGATGATGATCAACATACAGTATGTGATCCAGAGGGAGTCGAGCTCAGACGAGCACCACATCTCTGACACCGCTGGGCTGAGCGGGTTTCGAACCAGGAGCCGGTCTTCAACCAGAACACATGGCTCACATTAGGGTGTTAGATGTCTACCACACTGCGCCACCGGACACCATCCACAGTTGGGGATGAGCTCTGCGTGCTTTTATCTTGCTACTTTTGCTCCTGGACTTCAAAATTCATCCTGAATAAGGTTTGAACCCATGACCTCAGGAGTCCCAGTCAATGTTCTTATCCTGTGAGCCATGTGGACACACAAGCTACATGGCCTACTATAAGGATATAGAGGTATAAGTTTGTCCACAAGGGGGTGCCAAACTCCAGACAGAGGCTTTAAATAAATTATTGCTAACTCAATTCTGGAGTAAAATCACTTTATCCCTTTAGTACATTCATAGTACTTCTCAGTTAATAATAATAATAATAATAATAATAATAATAATAATAATAATAATAATAATAATAATAATAATAATAATAATAATAATGAAGAAACCAAAAGCACAAATAATCAAAAAGATTAGGGAGTTAACATCAGCAGCTTTTTTCTTAAAATAAAAACAAACACAAGCTCCAACTTTCAATTGCAATTTATTTCAACTGACGCTAAAATGAAAATCTATGTTTAAAAAACACACACAATATATAAATACAGTCTATGAATGAGACACAGCCTTGATATAGGTAACGGAGAATTTGTGTCGAAAGTGCGAGGTTGAATGTCCGCCCCTGTGTCGAATCAGGCGATAGGGAAGTAAAAATGCATCTTTAGACGTTACTCATTGGATAGCTACCATGGCAGCCACGAAAGCCTCTAAAGAACAGAAATACGACAGGCAGCTCAGGTAGATTAATTTTTTTTAAAGGTTTCTCAAGCGCCAGTATTTCTCTATCATACTGTTTTATTTATTTGAACCAGGGATAAACACAGAAGAGGCAGACGTACTGGAGTTAGCTAGCCTTAGCTTGTTGTGTTATGATAGCATCGTCTTTAGCATTAGCTGCAATAGGATGGGTTTGTGTTTTTGTCTGTTTGATTCATGCGTGTCCATCAACATAAGGTTACCCTGTGGCTGCTTTTAACGTGATTAAATCATCACAGTCGGTTTTTTTTATGTTAAAATCAGTGTGTTTGCAAATGTCAAATCACCAGCTACACAAGTCATTCCTCCTCTGCTTTGAATGGATAAACTTTGTAATTAGATGGCAGCACATGTTCGTGTAATGTTGTGCTTTTTTCAGGCTGTGGGGAGACCATGGTCAAGAAGCTCTGGAGAATGCACATGTCTGTCTCATCAATGCCACTGCAACTGGAACAGAGATCCTGAAGAACCTGGTGCTTCCAGGTGATCAGCTGTTATTGAGTGATGGTGTTTCAGCTACTAAACCAACAGGCAGTGTTGTGACTGAATGCTTCTCTATTTTCAGGGATTGGAGCATTCACCATAGTAGATGGCCATGTAGTTTCTGGAGAAGATGTTGGAAACAAGTAAGTTAACTTTCTTTTAATGTTTGTGTAAGCTTAAAACAGTTTCAGTGCATCTCAAAGAAAAACCTGCAAAATTGCAAAAAGCTCAAAATGCTCTAAGTGCACATATGTCACAGAAATGCACAGAAAGCTCTCATGGCTTCCTGTTGGTAATAGATCACATTCTCGTACTATCACTGTTTACCGTACTGTTTTAATGGACAAGAGACCACTGCATATATATGACCAAGTTAAATACACACAAAATGAACCAACCAGAAACTAAACATTGTGTTTGCTGGTAGTCTGTTGGCATCTACAGTAGCACCAATGCTTTTTACTTTCGCGTTGACTAGGCTCCATTTGTAATTATCTGAAGTATTTATCTGCATTATATCCGAATTTAATTGGAACAATACGAGCGAGCAGGAGCGTCTGTTTGTGGGCGAGGCTTCCTGGAGCAGAGAAGGAGGGGAGAGGAGGAGCTGAGGGGAAAACTGGTTGGGAAGGGTAGAGTTTACATTCAAGATTTCTCCTCAAGCACTGGCGCTTCCTCAGATTCTGCCTACCCCACCTATGAATCTACCTTTACCTATTGAGCTATTACAGGATGGAACTCAATACCTAATTACATAAAAAAATTCAAGCACAAAATTGGTTTTCAAGAAAAACCTAAAACAACACTTGATGAGATTAATCCTGTACTAATATATTGTATATGATCCTGTCTTCTATCAAATTGATTCCTTCTGTTAATTCCTTATAAAACCCTTTTTCCCCCCTATTTTTATTTAGTTGTTTGGTAAATGAGTGATTGTATAATCATGAATGAATGTTTATGTAATGTTTTATTTTCTGTTGGACCCCAGGAAGACTAGCGTTGTCTCAACAAAAGCTAATGGGGATCCTAATAAACAATAAACAATAGTATGTTCACATCTTATCTTCTCTTGCAGCTTTTTCCTTAGCAACAACAGCATTGGAAAGGTAAGGTGTGCTGATTTATATTAATGTTATGCATGTAGTATTTACCTGTATGCACACAGACACACAATATGTTTCCCTACATGTGCCTTTCATCTGTGTTCTTTTTTTTTCCGTCTTTTTTAATAACTTTTGTAAGCGTAAAATAAATAAAAATGTATTCCTAGTCATAGTCGTGCTGACCTGAACTGTGTGTTGCAGAACAGAGCGCAGGCTGCAACCGAGCTGCTTCAAGAGCTCAACAGCGATGTCTCTGGAAATTTTGTCGAAGAGGTCAGTAAAGTTCAAATTTGCCACATTGACACACACAACAGAGCTTCAGGAAGAAGTTCATATCAGAAACCTTTGACATCGCTTAGGCATTACACACTTTACACAAAACTTAATGGGAAAAAGAGGCAACATACGCTATGGCCATGCTAATTTATCAATCAATATTATGGCTTATGTCAGATTTTCTCTTGTATTTTCTGTAGAGTCCAGACAAACTCCTGGACAATGATCCAGAGTTCTTCCACAGGTTTACTATCGTCATTGGTGTCCAGTTGCCAGAAAGGTATGAGATTTACTAAAATAAAATTTATTTCCATCAATTATTGCAGTAAATAAGTGGTCCTGAGCGGAATATTGTATTTTCATACCATTTAACTTTTCTCTGAAACTCAACAGCACATGTTTGAGGTTAGGCTCGGTTCTGTGGAGTGCCTCTGTACCCTTTCTAGTCTGTAAAACTTATGGTCTGATCGGCTACATGAGGCTGGCGATTCAGGAACACACAGGTCAGTTCCTCTCATTGACCTTTACTTCCAATTGAATTAGTTTTGAAACGCGTATACAGATTTAACAACTTTTAAGTTGAACTTCATGTTGGTATTGCATGTGTCATAAAGATTCCTCTACAAAAGTATTTCTTTGAGATTGTTTTAACATTTGAACTCTTCAGTGATTGAATCTCATCCTGACAATGCCTTGGAGGACCTGAGGTTAGACCAGCCTTTTGCAGAGTTCAAGAATCATGTTAAGACCTATGACCTTGGTAGCATGGATAAAAAGGTGTGTACTTTGATGGTAGCAAATTGATCTGCGCACACTTTTTATGCTTAAGCTGCATAAATTTCCCATATCTGATTGAAGCACTTTTCTTTCTTCAATCTGTAGGATCACAGTCACACACCCTGGATTATTGTTGTTGCTAAATACCTGGAGAAGTGGCTCAGTGAGGTAAATCATATTCTTGGTATCACACCATTGCCAAGGGTTCTGTCAATGTGTTCATGAATGTTACTGTACAGTCAAATTTTACTCTCCATTGTTGTCTTAGCACAACAGCCAGCCGCCGAAAAATTACAAAGAGAAAGAGGCCTTCAGACAGCTCATACGGGAAGGTTTGTGTTGACCTCTTGATTGCTTTTGCTCACTAGTTTTGCAACCTAAACCTCAAACTTAGCTGTGAGTAATTCTTGTCTTTCCTCAGGGATTTTGAGGAATGAAAACGGCGTCCCAGAAGATGAAGAAAACTTTGAGGAGGCTGTTAAGAATGTCAATACTGCTTTAAATCCAACCAAGGTGCCAGACATCAAAGAGTCTAAATGAGATTAGATTTTTTTTTTTCGTGAGGTTATCATTCAAAGTGTTTAGATTTGTCAGACCTATTTTAATATCTTCTATTTCTGCAGGTTCCCAGTGCTGTTGAAGACCTCTTCAACAGTGAGGAGTGCAACAACATTACATCACAGGTTAGGCATTTTTTAAGACAATTAAAGAGAAATCATCATATGATTTTATTTCATATGATAGTTTGATGTCAGTTATTATTGTGTTTGTTTTTAACTCATTACTTTAAACTTTAAGATGTTTTCTGTTTTTGTTTGTTTACCAGACTCCACCCTTCTGGGTGATGCTACGAGCTGTCAAGGAGTTTGTTCTCAGTGAAGGCCACGGGAGTCTACCTGTACGAGGGACCATTCCAGATATGATTGCAGACTCTCAGAAGTTCATCAACCTTCAAAATGTGTAAGTATCACAATTAAAGGTACAAAGAAACTTGTTTATGTAAGCCATTCCATCCACTTCTATACCTTTTCTGCTAACAGTGTATGTTAAAGTGTTGGTTTGTGTGTATCTTTGTGCCCTATTTCAGTTATAGAGAGAAGGCCATGCAGGATGCAGCAGCTGTTTCGAAGCATGTAGAATCTCTTTTGCAGTCGGTTGGAAAGGTATGATTGAAAGCCTTCACCTCTTGCATTAGCTTGAAATATCCCAGCTTGCACCAATGTGCCATCATAGCTAATGTGGCATACAGAGCTGTCACAATACTAGAATTTTTAATTTTGATACAGTACTTGTAAAAAGCAAGTGATATGAAACCTCCTTCAGTATAATAGCAAAAAAGAGAACTCCCAACCCAAAATAGATATTCATAACATTATTATTGAATTTCTAATTTGCACTCAGTGCCGGTACAGAAGAAGTCATTGAGCTCAAAATTTGACAAACTGTTAATAGTAATGAATCTAAAAGAAGTGTGTGGTTGTGTGTGTATCTGCAGAGCTGAAACTCAGAGATCAGGTGAAATCTTAGTCTCTCTCCTCTGCTCTCATTACTTCATCTCTATGTCAATCAACCACTGCTGCTCACTCTTCTCTTTACACTCTCTTGATTGCAGATGTGGTTATCTAATAAATCAGTGCCATTAAGCATTAACACTACAGACATTGTGTTATTTCAAAGCATATGATGTGGAAAATTATCTTTGACCACTATTCTGCATTTGAAGTAAAGTATGTAAGTTGCAAACTGAAATTGCGATGTATGATCTCATAAGTTGACTTTTTCATATTTTGCTATCAATCAACGAAAAAAAGTTAACTTCAGTTTTACTAACCTTTGACTCTCTACTAGCCCCCAGAGAGCATCTCCGAAAAGGACATCAAACTCTTCTGTAAGTAACTCATTCTTTATCCACATCCCATACTCTCACATTCTCATAACCAGTGTATTTACTCCAAGTAAACTCCAACTCAATTTTTCTTCTTGATAAATATTAATTTCTTACATTGTGCAAATGTGGAGGTTTCACTTCTTTCAATGAATTTTAAATAAGTTAAGAAATCACTTTATATACCTCTGCTTCAATAGAGGGCAACTTTGATTAACACAGATCATAAAATGGGATCTGATTATCAGGGAATATTAAAAACATGTACGTGTGAAATGATCATGAGGACTTACATGTGTGTTAAAACCTGGTTTTAATGCACAAATACAGACTATTGAAATGCATGATTGATAACTTGACCAGATGAAATGTGTTACCTCTTCAGCATCGTTTGAAAGCATCATGTCTGTCATGCATATTGTCAGACTTCAGCGTTGTTATTTCTGTTGGATTAGCAGCTGTGTGGATTCACATTGATTTCACTGAGTGTTCCCTCTGGACAGGACTCAGCGGGAGAGCAAGTGTAGTACATTATGGTCCAATGGTGATTCTATGATTGGTTCCTGAACTGTACTTTTGTTCTGCTCCAGGTAAAAATTCCTCTTTTCTGAGGGTGGTGCGTTGCAGATCTCTGGCTGAAGAATACAGTGTGGATTCAGTGAATAAAGATGAAATAGGTAAGCATGAGAGGAATTTTCTTTCTGATATATCTGTTAAGTGTTTTACAGTGTCTTTCCTTGTTGAGAGATAACTTGTACACAAGTTTTCTGCTGGTATTATTAACATACAAGTCATTACTTTGGTATTGTGTCCTCAGCCTCATGCATGGACAATCCGGATAGTGAAATGGTCTTCTACCTCATGCTTCGGGCTGTTGATCGTTTCTACCAGCAGCACTCGCGCTACCCAGGTGTGTCAAAGGTTTTATCGACTCATCTATTAAATAACAAAAGTAAATTCACAGACAAAATGTTGGTAAATTGAAGATTTTTGTAGACAGTGGAGGTTTTTTAAAATGGTGTAAAAAAAATCAACAAACTGTAGTCTAAGAGTTTAACCGCTGTATGTCTTTTTCTGCACTAAGGACAGTCTGATTTACTTTGAATGATCCTTTTTACTATTTCTTCTCCCTTTGGCATGTAAGTTTTTATTTTTTAATATCTTCATTTTTCCATCCTAACTCCATGTTTTGTGTCTCCAGGAGTCTATAACTACCAGGTAGAAGAGGACATAAGCAAACTAAAGCTCTGTGTGAACAGCTTACTACAAGAGTACAGTCTTAATGTCAACATCAAAGATGACTACATCCATGAGTTGTAAGTTCTCCTCACTGCTGGATTTACTGATTGTAGTTAAAGAATTTTAAAACCAGAAATTAACTTTTTCACCATGTATCTCCAACCTGAAGCTGTCGGTACGGAGCAGCAGAGCCTCACACAGTTGCTGCATTTATGGGAGGTAATGTTGTCCAGTTCTTCAAGTTAGATTTTTGCCATTAACACACAGCATTTCACAACCAATCAGTGCTAACAAGTCCCTATTTTTGTTTTAGGGTCAGCTGCTCAAGAAGCCATCAAAATCATCAGCCACCAGTTTGTGCCATTCAGCAATACTTTCATTTATAACGCCATGTCACAGACATCTGCAACCTTACAGCTGTAAATACAGGTATTGTTCCTGAGTTAGTTTTAAGCGTTATCAAAGGAAATGCAGTAAGATCAAAACCGGGATTTAGACATTTGAACTATTCTGAAACATGAACTGCACATTGGTGTTTAGAAAGAAGGACGTACTGCGTTTTATCTCACTGGAACTGGATGTTGTGTAAAAGAGACATCAGGACTGCACCTACAGATCACTTTTGTATTTTCTCCTTGAGGCTTTTACTCTCAATCAACCCTAAAACAAGCTGACTCTAAACCTTAATGTTGTATTTTCATCTTGTAAACTCCACATCTATGGTTGATATATTACAGCCTAGCAGCACTTTGTATACTTAAGTCAAAACTGACACGGTGTTTGGTTTGGAAAAGGTGGAAGATTTTGGAGGATAAATGGGAAAGAAACTGTATGTGGTGTTGAATTGTTCATTTATTGCTATAAAAATATACAAAACTATGACCTGAATTTTTTACTGATAAGTTGGAGTAGAAATACAAGAGAGTTACATTTGACTCAGTCATCAAAGTGAATTAAAACAAAACTGTAATAATTTCCAGAATCCTCATTTTTAAATACAAAAATATATTGGTAGGTTGAACTTTTATGGTAAAAAAAAAAAAAAGCAGAGATGGATATTGACCGAGTAATTTGTCAAAGTGCAGTTTTGTCTTGTAAACAGGTCTAGACTATGACATCCTCACAGACAGAGTTAAGACAGATCAAGTGACTAAGAGAAGTTATAATAACTATTTGTGCAACAAGCGTTTATAACATGCTTTGACATACAGGCAAAAGCAGGAAAAAAAAAACACCCACAGCAATAACTATCAGCAAATGACCCAACAGCACAGAACCCAAACACTCTGAGCAACACAAACGTGTCGGACAATCATTCAGTTGTAGTATAATAAAAAGCAGTACAATCATGTCATAGAGTAAATAACCACCTGTTTTGAGTAAAACTCATTTAAATCCTCACCTGTTCTACAAACACAGACACACCCATCACACCCTCCAGTCACATCAAACAGCTTTGCACATGAATTTAGCTTTGACTTTAACACTTTCCCTTCAGTGTGTTTAGCTTTACTGCTTTCTCATGTGATATGTGTTAGAAGCGAATCCAATCTATTCATCCTGCTGTACATAACTATGTAAAGTTTCCTCTTAATCTTGGTTCTTCGTAAAAAGATTCCTTGTAGCATGTCTTGCACTATCAGAACTGGAAGATTAATCCTAAAAATCAAGAAGCTGCTGTGACTTGCTGACAGTTGAAAAAAAAAGCTTTATTTATTCATTTCCAGGTATTTTGCTTGAATCAATATTAGATGAGAAGCATGTGAGCTTCTTAAGAGGCCTGCAATGTGACAACCCCCCGGCAGGACTCGTATGCAGCAGAGCACTTTAAACCAACACAGGAGGGCGCTATTTCATGCTTTACTTTTCACAGGTCAAAGTTCCAGTTTATTTCACATACCTGTCTGTTTACTGATTCCTGAAAGCTGACCACTGGATACACAGTGTGCATGACGTAATCAGCTGGGATGTTAACAGAAAACTTGCAATGTTAGTCATTAACTTTTGTTTCTCAATCTCTCTCTGTCTTAAGTGCTTTGAAATTTGCGTTCAGTACCTTTTGCATTAAGCGGCTAATATACAGTGTTTGAGGAGAATGTTGTGAAGGTCACTGTGATGTAACGACAGAGCAGGGTGAAGTTCCTCTTTTTTTTTTCTCAGACTTTGGCAGAATGGAAATTTGCCCTCAGCAGATCTTCCCTGTCAGACTCCCTCCATCCCCCACACTGGTCTCTCTCCCTTTGCAGTGATCTGTCTCACATTCTCTCACACACACACACACTCACTTACTCCCCTCGTCTCTCTTCGTCTGAGAGGGATAGAGCAGGCAGCCAAGAAGTGCTCTGGCCATTTCCTAAATGAAGATTTCATCCACCGCCTAAGAGATTACGGCGCGTCCTCCTGCTGCTTCTTAAGATGATCATGAAGCCTCAGTGCCAGGTTTATTCCACCAAACCAGACATCCTTGCTGTTATAAGGACAGAGATGCAACCCATTAAGCACTGATTGAAACAAACCTAACTCAAAGCAAATACTACAAATAAAGTTCCCAGAGAAAGTCTGGTTGTCAAAAGCATGTTTATGCAAGTGTAACATTTGTTGTGGTTTAAACTCTCTTGGGACGTTTCTGGTCCTCCCCACGGTTCTGTCTGCGCCCATCCCTTAAATAAAGACAACACTGAGGGTGTAGGGTTACCTTTGAAACTAGCTAAACATTTATGTTACTTGGAAAAAATGTGTTATTGGTAATTTCATCTTTTCACTTCAGGGTGACATCTCTGAACTGAAGTGCAGTATGAATTCTTAAAGATCTATCTCTTAGCATTTCTGCAGTAGTTCTCATTTTATTACTCTGAAAATTACAGTTTTATCCCACTTAAATATACATAAACATGTCTGAAACTAACGAACAATTCCCCGTAAGTCTGAGAAAGACCCTCTAATCAGTTCGTCCAGCTGATTTGTTTACAGCTGTGTCAACATCCAAACATAGAACATTCAGTGCTTGAGACCATTTTGAAAACAGCAGGATAGCATCAGTTCTGGTGCAGCTTTCTTCATCTATAGGTGGAGAAGGAGGAACAGTAGCCGGTGTGTCTTTCTGTCACTTAACACCCACACTCTTTGAGGTATGATTACTGACAACAAGGGTTAAAATGTAAACAAACAGGCAAAGGAGTCTTTCTGACATAACTGCTTTAACCGCAGGGAACGGGAGTGTTTGAACGGTAAACAGAGTCAAGTGTTTAAAGCAAATGGTACATCTTGTTATTTTGAAGAGAACACTGGGGGGACATTGCAAATGTGATCTAAAAAAAATGAGTTTTTTTAATGTTTCAAGAGAAAAGAGAAAATCCACGATTTAGACGATGACAGAAGGAAACTTGTACACAGTAACTCAGTATGGTGTGGTGTGGTGTATGAGGCCATGCAGATGAGCAAATACACAATTCAGGTGCATAAAGGAAATTATTTACTGGTTAAATATTTGCTAAATTGACGACCAAGGATCTATATTTATGCTCTTAATCCTCAGGGAGGGCCTGCTGTAGTTTAACCGGTTGAGATGATAAACACTTAATCAGCTGATGTTCTGTTTTTCATTGTTCACTGCCTATGCATGCTCACATTAAAACTATTATTACTAAGTTAAAAAGAAAACAGACTATAATGTAATTCTCAGCTGGGACAAATCACAGTGAAGCTACAGTGCAGAGCCTGACCACACAGCATTTTAGTGACTTGTTTTAATAATATTTTCTGCACTGACAGGGGTGGAGGTTTTGTTTTATTCACCAAAGATCTGCAGCATTGCTTCAAAAATCCAAATTATCTCTAGTTTCTTGATATTCCAGACAGTAGAGATATTGTTTTATTGTCTCTGGTGGGAGAAGTTGCATCAAAATGAGGAAAACTTACCTCTGTGACATGACGGGAGGAGGAATGAGTCAGAGCAGTGAGTCCATATTATGTAATTGGAAGAATCTTTGCATGTCATGTGTCAGTCAGCAGAAGGTTCATTAGGAAGCTTGTTTGCATGTGGTTTCTATTTTCTAATTAAACACTAATTTGAAGTTGATGAAAGATATTAGACTTGTTTTCCCAAAGCAAACCTGTTTTTTTGACTCTATAATTCTTTGCTCTTCTTGCTGTTTCAGCGTCTGATGCTGAATTGATTTATTCGTTTATATTGATTAGCTCAATGTGCTGACTCATGGATTTTAAATATCTTCATGGGACCGAACAGAGGAGTGTTTCTTTGGTATATAGTATTAAAAACATAAACATAAACCAATGTTGCTCTGAAAATCATGACACCTACAGATGATGGTATAGGAAGCAAATGTGTATAAACCCAGTTATTCATTTATTTATTCATGTACTTTTATGGATGATTGCACTTAACTGTTCTGCTCCTGATAAGACTACATCCAATACTATTTCACCTAAAATAAATATGAGCTTTGAGCGAACAGCTAAGTAGTCCAACTTTCTTCACTTAAGGGAACAAACTATTTTTTTTTCCTTTTAAAGTTTAATTTTCACCCTTTAACCTTATAATAACTGTTTTTTTGGGCCACTAGGGGGCAGCAGAAACAACTTGCAAACACAATATTAACTTATCATCACCTTTTATGTAAGCGGGTCCCACATTTCCTCCTCAGGGGTTTCCCAAAGGCAACACTTGACTCTTTTAAAGTATGTTCACGTGTTTTTTTTTTACTGTATATGTGGTGCTGACATGTAGTTAACTTTCTGAGTGATGAGGGTTTTTTTTCCTTCTTTTTGCTAAAAACAGCTGTCAGCTATTACTGAAAAACTAGACTGTGGGTGTCATGGGTGAGCCAAAGCAGTAAACCTGCAAGGCATCATACTACAATCAAACAAAAACATTGATTTGAAGCACCGTGGAAGTGTGTTATCAGAGGTTGTTGGGGGTGAAAATACCACAGAGAGAAACAAGCTTTGAATTCATTTTTACTCACTGCTGTAGCCTGCCTCCTCTCCTCTTTCTCAAGGCTTTAGCCTTCAGGCTCAGCTTGTAGCTACTTTATCTGTAAGTGCCAGGAGGAGCCTGACAATGGATACGTGTGTCCACTCTGTGTGTGTGTGTGTGTGCATGCAGGGGTGTGTGTGTGTGTGTGTCCAGGGTTGGGAGAGAAAGGGAGGGGCTGGTCGTTAATGCTAAAATCAATCAGTAAATCAGAGGCACGGCCTGCAGAAGGGCCACACTGCCAGTGCTGATTCTCTCTGGAAGCTTCAAGCAATAAAAGGAGAAAAAAGGGGGAGGGGAGCTGGATGAGTCATCATAGGGTAATGAAGGAAATTGCATAGTTAAGGTGGCAGATTGGTGGTCATATCTCCCACAAGGACAAAGGATATGAGCCCCGATATCTCAGCCTGTCTCTGCATAAAAAGTTGTGTTTAACAAACACATCATGAACAGAGCCGGCAACAGACTGCAGACAGCAAGAGCCAAAGACATTTTAAAGGTTGAAGGAGATGTCTTCTGATGGCTCGTGGCTGTAAGTCTGAGACGTTTACCTGGCTGAGATCCAAGTGGTTCACCTCCTCATGAGGCCCAGGCTGAATTAAAACCGGCCTGCCACAGCTAGGCGGAGTATCCAGTGTGTTTGCTGGGAGACTGCAGGAGGCCGGCATACTTTAAACCTCTCAGGGGTCTGCTGAGGGCCTCTCCATTCTTCCTACAAACAGATGGAGCTGTGACTGAGGAATGTACAACACATACAGACGATGTTTGAAATGAAGGAAGACATGAACAATGCAACAGCAACAGTTTGGTTTCCTTGTCACCAGGATGTGAGAGAAGATACATTACAGTGATTCTGAAACCACAAAGAAGATGGAATCTTCAAAGAGAGCGTAAACTCCTGAGTAATGTCTCGCCGTAAAGAATTATTACAAAGGAATAAACAATTCTACGTTCCGCCGTAATATAAACACAAGCTCTGTCATGTGCTGTAAACTTCACCGCAATGCAGTTTAAACCAGCCTATCTCTGGGAGGATGGAGCTGCCATGCCTTAATGGTTATATGCTTTCCAGATGCATTGTTAATGAGTCCATGAAACACACACACACACACACAGGACAATTGCCAGGCCATCCATTAATACAAGAGGTGATAAAGGCATAAACTGATCCTAAAAGGTATTTAAAGACCAGCACACCTTTCTGCATACATGTGCACACGTACAAGCAGCAAAGAAGAGCAACAAAGGGGTGTGTCTGAGCTGCTTTCCCAGCACAGCAACACAAACTCCCAGTTACTCTCTGGTTTGATGTTTTTACGCTGAAAAAAAAAAGCTGCTTGTAAAGATGTCACTATCTGAACAAGAAGTTGTAAATCTCTCTGACTAATCCCAGTTTTCAGCTTTATATCATCCAAATATTGTGTGTTTTCAAAGCTTTGACAGATTGTGTTGATTGTGACTCAACTGGGACCAAGCTTAGAAAACAACACACACAATACAACAAACACTCGTAATGAGAAGAGTTGGAATAGCACGACAGCCTGATAAAACGTGTCTGTTTGTGATTAAAGTTTAATGGGTAGGCAGTGCATGTGAAATAACAGACAACGAAGAACGCTGGGAAACATCCTGACAACAACACTTCAACATGGCCCAGACATGTGTGTGTGTGTTTGTGTTTGTGCAATGACAGGAAACAATTGCGCAGCATATCTGATAGCAGCCCATGTGAGACAACAATGATGTAATGTGACTGCATGATCTTGTTAGAGTTTGGAGGAATTTTTGAAAAGTCAGAGCAGAACATGAGCAGGAAAAACATGTTTCTGAGTCTGGCTTCTGTCAGACTCAGAAAGATGTGTGGCCTTATGGGCTGCACTGACAAACACACACCTATGTTAACTTTCCTCCTGTGTAAGCTTTTACTACAAACCCAGCATGTTAAGGGTCGGTTTTGACCCATGTCTTAAATCAGCTGTAAATTACACTAAAAACAATTCTCTATCATCCAGTTTGGTTCTCATCTCTATGTTACCTTGTTAGGCTTCATTATCTATGAAAATATTGCTGATAATATTTTTTGTTGTGGTCCTCTGGGCCTTTTTTTTAGTATACCTGTCACACAGACATCTAGACTGAATTGATCTCACATGTCTGGACATGCCCAACATTGTTTTTTGTGCAGGGAAGAACATGGAAAAATGAGAATTTCCTAAATTTCTCATGATTGGAAGATGGTCTGACTGTCAGTGTGGTGCCTGACAGTGCACTTATGATTTCAGTTTTTGCTCTAATTATTGGATATTGATCTAACCGGAGCAACAGCGACCCTAACATGACAAGTGCCATAATTTTAATAAGAGCATTTTTTATTTTTATTTTATTTTATATAATTTATTTTTATTTTTATTTTATTGAAATAGAGGTTCCTGACAAAGTCATAAAGTCTTGATGCAAAAAAAGCTAATTTAAGTGGTTCGGGGTCGCTGCAGACCCCAACACAGGAGGAGGGTTCAACACAAAGCTGGATTTCTTTTAGTAGTGGTAGTTGTTTAGTGTAGTTGTGTAGTTGGTTTCACTGGCTCGCTGTTGTGAACATTACACCTAATTTTAAAAAAGCTTTCCTGAAATATTCCTTCGACAACAGAGGTACAGCCTCTAGTGTTACACCTACTTATCATACAATAGGCCTGTGTTCAAAACCTCACACTAATTTGCAACCTGCTCAAATAATATACGCCGACTAACTTGATAGTTAGTTTGCTGTTCACAACACGTCCTCTGACCGCTCATCTCTCAGCCTATGACTTCATCTCACGTGTATTTCTGGTCTAAAGTGAGCTAGCACACCTGTCGGGTTACAGGCAGCGTTCTTCAACAATACACAAACATTCATTATGTATGCATTTATTTGAATACACGTCCAACCACATGTAAAACATATTACTCACATTTGTACATTGCTTTTAACTGACTGGAAAGCTCTGCTACTACAATGCGTTTTCGGACAGCTCGGTGTGACTAGAAAGTCTGTCTCATGCTTGAAATTCCTGCCAATCTCGCCTTGATCTACCATTTCTGGCATACACAAAATTGCAGACTCTTAACTGTGAATGTATTCTATATTCAAAATAATTGAATAGTCGATAGTATACAGTATTGGTTTGTGATATGCTCTGATAAAAATGAGCGATTACTAAGCTTAATGTCTCTATACGACGACCATCTTCTGTTAGCAGCCAGGCCTTTAGACAGTCTGCATCTCCAGATGGGGGTCAGGGATTCAGTCCCCCATGCAGGACCTGGGTGTCAGATTACAACCCTAAAATACACACTTACAAGCACACACACATCAGTGCCTAATACAAAATGGGGCCCAGAGAATTTGCTTGGTGTACAGAGTTCAGGATATGAGCATAAAACTCACGCAGCCACACAGCTCTCATTTGTAAGTTATTTGAATGATTCACCCAATGTTGTTTGCACTTTTTGGTCTATAAAAGATAACCACTTTAGAGATATATTCAGCTCCTCTTCTCCTATTTTTAGCAGGGTTTTGCACGTGTAATACGTGTGTAACAGGATGGTTTGCGAAAGTGTTTGCTCACTCTAGCATAACATTTACTCCAGAGGTACATAAACGTGCTGCGGAGCACATTCTCCAGGTGCCATTCTTATCTCTGTCGTCGTACTCTGACATTCTCCTCATCGCTGAGATCAGTTAGAAACAAGGTGGCCGGAATTCCTCTCTTGAGTTTTACTCATCCTTTTTCCCTGCACCACCACATCTATGTATATTTTTCTCCGGTAAGATACAGATCTATGTGAGGAGGATGAAGATGAATCATTCCCTTATCTTTGTGGTTTCCTGTGAATCAAGAGACGAGAAAAGTTGATCTGATTTCTGGGAAATCTCTGCATGCCTGATGTCTTTTTGATGATTTAGAAAGAAGAGCATTAAAAACAAACCCAAACAACATGGAATACTTTATGAGTGGTGCTCACATATGTCGCGCTTTGTCTCGGCTCATTTTTCAAGAGGAAAATTAATGAGGACCACCTGTTTGGGGAAGCCATGACACTGAAAACATGAGGACAGGGAAGTATGTCAGAAATGTGAGCCTTTAGTGGAAGTTCCAGGTGTTGTTTGTGGACTGTGTGAAATTTGCATGATGGATATTGTTGTACAGCTTCTTTTGTTTGGGCGTTGGATTGTGCTTTTCATAAGGCAAACCAGAGGCATTTCGTGTGTTTCCACAGGAGTGTGTTTGCATGTGAGAGAAAGTGTGTGTGTGTGTGTGTGTGTGTGTGTGTGTGTGTGTGTGTGTGTGTGTGTGTGTGTGAAAGAGGGATGTACTCCACAGGGGAGTGTTTATGAAGAGGAGATGTTCAGGGTGAATTCCTCAGATAAGTGACATGGCCTCTTTCTGTTCGGGATGCAGGAGGGCAAGGCACACCCCTGGCTGTTTATGGAAAACCTCAGAAAGCCATGCACACACAACCTGAAGCGCTGTCAAAGTGGGTTATTGAGGTTTTTGAAAATGATGCAACTCCACTGCTGCAGGATCAGTGCATGAAGATATCCGACTCTGTAAAGACTGTGGAAAAGGTGTCATTTATTACAAACAGCACCCGTAACACCAAGGTCAAATTCTCCCAAAAACACACACACATACTCACACACACCCACACACACTCTGGCAGTGGGTAAATCAGCTACATGGGGCCCTATACATGGTGTCAGGCTCAGTTCAGATCACAGCATTCTTCAGATTCCTGCCTGTAATTATACTGGCAGGTCTGATTCAGCCTTATATCTTTTATCAACACACTGTGGGGATGGTGCTGATCATCCTCAGACCCTCTCTCATGTGCCACCTTGTCACACACACACACACACACATGCGCACACTTATAGCAGACTATAGGGAACCGTTGTCTTTGTGAGTAGGAAACAGAAGGCCCCTCCATTTGCCACACTGTGGGCTGTTTAAAACCAAAACACTTTGAGCGTGGATATTGTCTCTGCTGTGTGTAGTCGAGGTTTTTCTGTGTGTGCGTTTATGAGCCCTCGCGTGTGGGTGTCTGTAGGCGTTTGGAGGTTGTATTCGCGCGTGCGTGGTCGTTTGTGCACATGCATGTGTCAGCAGGCCGGGAGATAGTCTATGAAACCGCAGAGAGCCATAAAAGCAGCAGCGAGCCTGACATAGCAGAGGAGGAAAATGAGGAGGAAGGGAGGAGGAGGAGGAGAGACAGAGAAACAGAGAGAGAGAGGGGGAGAGAAGGGAGGAAGGGGTAACTTCAACAGGGGATTGTAACAAATATGTGTTGTCTAATCCTCTCGTTAGACAGCAGGGGGTGTATGCAGCAATCAGATTTGAGAGGAGAGACGCAGTGCCATGTTGGGGGACTGAGGCCTGGCAGAGCGCTGGGGAAACTGTCTGTGGCTGTGAGAATATTATCTAATGCAGACACACAAACACACACACACACACACACACACACACACACACGCAGCAGTTCTGGTCTTTAATCCAAAAACTCTCTTAAAATGCAAAAAGACTGAGAACACACAAATACAGCTGTGTTAGTGAGTGAATTTGATGCAGATGATGCAACAGTTACCTTGATACCTCTTTGTGTAACAGCGTCTCCTTCTCTTTCCAG